TTTTAATTTCCTGTAGTCTCTCTCTCTCTCTCTCTCTCTCTCTCTCTCTCTCTCTCTCTCTCTCTTATAAACTAAAGTAATGTATTTTTATATATGATTTATATATATATATATATATGAAATAGGATTTATTATTATTATTATTATTATTTTTATCGGCAGCTGTTTTTGTTGCTCTCTTACATTATATAATATATATATATATATATAAATGTATGTATTGTTGTTGACTACTACTACTACTACTAGTAGTGTATTGTAATATTATATAAGTATTATTATTCAATAGACTAGTGTATAGTGTATTTGGTAACAGAGAGAGAGAGAGAGAGAGAGAGAGCAAAAAAAATAACAACAATAACTATATCCCCACCAAAAAAAAATAGTAATACATAACAATACTGTTTAAAATCACATTTTGTTGTTATATTTGAATCACTTATATATATATATATAAATTATTTTGCAGGAAATCTTCAAAAAAATAAAGAAAAATGTTTCTATAAATATACTTTACTGTACTATACTATACTATAAATATATATGTATAAAAATGTGCATGTTAAATTGCAACCTAACAAATAAAAACTAATAAATTGCATTAGATTATATATATATATATATATATATATATATATATATATATATATATATATATACTATATATTGCACAATACCCGTACCCGATAGTCCAGGTGCTTACAGTCATGTGAATTGTTAGCTACCTGAGCTCACACACACAACTGTGCTCTAGTATTTGTATAATATATAATATAAATGACCCTGGTCTCTCTCAACAATACTATACTATCCCCGCTGGGCTCCTTAAAACGTTATATTATATATATATATATATTTATATAATACAATGTTATATAAAAATAGGAAATAATAGTTTTACTTATATATACAGTACTGTATATATATTTTTAGGTATAACCTATTGACAGACAATAGGCTAGCGTTAAGTAGTAGTAGTGAATGTCAAGGAAAGGAGAGAGAGAGCGAGAAAGATATAAGTGCTATATATCTATCGTTTTTGATGGTCGGGTGGTATGAGTGTGTGTGTGTGTGTGTGTGTGTTGTACGGTATATGACATACAAACATACTGTTTTCACTGATCATAGGGCTATATGTATGTAAAAATAGCAGCTATAGCTTATGTAGTATAGTATAACGCGCACTGGGATTCACGTAATCGCAAAAATACAATATATATATATATACAGTATATATAATGCTTAGGATATACTCTGGATATACATTGTTTAGTGAGAGAGAGAGAGAGAGAGAGAGAGAGAGAWAGAGAGATATGCTATGCTATGCTATGATCTCATCAAAACATTTTCCTTGACATTGAAAACCAACGATCCCTTTATATCCACACACCATATAAAAGTGTATATACAGTATATATATATATATATATATRTACAGTAAAATATTATACATTATAGCWATATATATATATATATACTGTATATATATATATTGTGTGATAAAAATAGGTAAACAACTAATATATATATATAACTTTATATATAATGCGGCACAAAAAATATGATATCCATATACAGTGAATGTAAATGTAGTTATTTTTTTAAATACAATATTGTATATCCAATATATATATATATATATATATAATATATATAATTTATTTATTTATGAAATATTTGAAATATTTTATTTTATTAGATTTTTTTTGTTTGTTGAATTAATTAATTATACTAAACAACGATTAATTACAGTTAATTAATTAATAGTTATTTATTTTCTAAATTTTAGAAATAATATTTCAATTTTTAATATATATATATAGTTTATTGTAATTTTATTGTAGTAAAAATAGTCAACTAAAATATTTTTATAGTTGTCTCCATAGTCTAGTGCGGGCACTGGTAGCTAAAAAATAATAAAGGGTTCTCCCTTTTTTGTATGTGTGTGTGTGTGTGTAATAAATATTGTTATATAATATAATAGTAACTGTAAAGCACATCCGTTTTTATGTGTGTGTGTGTGTTGGGTGGGTAGGGGAAAGGGGTAGGGGTTTTACCACAAACTTACTGTATATATATATAATGTTTGTTTCAATTTATAGTTATTGTTGTTGTTTGGGTAGGAAGGGTAGGGGAAACGGTATATAATATGTATGTATAATATGTAAGTGTTTTATTGAGGACCGTAAGGTTGTTAAGGTTAGGGTTAGCTCCTCTGACCACACGATTGTATAATACATATTGTTGTTGTTTGTAATGGCTATATAGGTGTCTGACCTCTCATAAAAGGGACGCCTTATAAGAGTGGTAACAGTGCTTCTTGTAGTAGTAGTAGAGGACAGTTGTCCTGTATGTATGTGTGTGTGATTTTTATGGAGGATTTATTGGTTTATTTTGTTGTTGGTGTTACCGATACTGACAACTATTTTTTTCTCAATACTGAAAGAGAGAGAGAGAGAGAGAGAGAGAGATTATAAAATGTTAGTTACAATAGACACCCAAAAAAATAAATTGTTGTCATTGACCCATAACTGTATATACAGTACATATACAGTAAATACAATAGTATTATATATGAATAGGTATATGTGATGATAGCATATGTTAGCACCGGTAGCTAAAAATTTTTTTTTAAGTATACATTAATGTTAACTAAATTACTATACATTTATAGATATATAGGTATACAGTATATTAGATTTTTTTTAAAAAATTGTGAAATTTAATGATTTTAATTTATATATATATTAATATAAAATAATAATAATAATAAATAAAATATATTTTGTCAAAAAAAAAATTTCTATTTATTTTATTTATATGTGATAAAAATGTTTACTTTATATATACAACATATTTAGTATTTATTAATAAATATGAATAAAAATTATATATATTTTTAAAAAAAAAAAAGTTATTATTGCACTTATGCATGAAAATGCTTACATAAATATATTTATAATAAATATTATTATTAATATTATTTTATATATATATATGCAGTATATTTGTCTTAATATCTATTTATGTATTTTATTATATATATATAAAAATTTTTGAAAACTCATATTTGAGAGAAAAAAACATAAGAAATAATTTTAATAATAATAATAATAATAAATTTGTTTTATAATATTGTAAATGTTATGTACAATATTTTTATGTAAATATAAAGATTATAAGTACTACTCTCTCTCTCTCTCTCGTCATAGAAATTAATTATTATTATTATTATTATTATTATTATTATTATTATTATTATTATTATTGTATATATATATAAATTAATGAAACAAAATTGAAAACTATTTTTTTGTACATTATTTTTTTATAGTACAGTAAAATATAATAATAATAAATAATTATATCTATATTCATTGAAAATGCCATAAATTTTAATATAAGTTTTTAGTAATTTTTTTTTTGGTTGCTTTGTTTTAATACACGAGTAGTTTCTCTCTTTCAGTCTCTCTCTCTCTCTCTCTCTCTCTCTCTCTCTCTCTCTCTCAGTCTCTCTCTTTCTCTCTACTATTATATCATAGTTTGTTAAATATGAGACAATTTTTTTTTGTTTTAGTTAATGCATTAAAAGTTTTTTTTGTTTGTATTCAATATTTTCCTCTCTTTCTCTTTGTTTTAATAAATTTTATGCTTATTTTTGTTACTAATGTATATATTTAGTAGTATTATTATTATTATTATATATAGTACTGCTATATATATATATATATATATATATATATATATATATATAATGTATTTGTTTTAAAAGTAATCATTACGCCTATAGGTTTATAAGCAACTATATATATATATACAATATTTTTTTAATACTATATATACTTAATAAATATATATATTTTTAAAGATTACTCTTTCTCTCTCTCTCTCTCTCTTTTATAAAAAATTGTTTATACAATATATATATATATATATATATATATATATATATATATATATATATATATTTAAAAACGATAGCTTTTAATAACAACCCCCCCGTTCCCACTCCCTTTCCCCCATCAACAGTAAAAAACTCAAAATTTTTTTGATAAACATTTTTTTAAAAAATAATATAAATTATATACAATATATATACAGTATATATATATATAGAAACCCCTTTAGATTCGACAATATATATATATATATATACTGTATATACCAAACCATTTTACATACCGACCCATATCTAAACACTCTCTCTCTCTCTCTCTCTCTCTCTCTCTCTCTCTCTCTCTCTCTTTCGCATTGATTAAGACTAATGTCTTTAAGCAAATGAAATGACAAAAATGTATTTGTTTTGTGTGTGTGTTTGAAAGCGACTTATTTTTGTATAAATATATATATAATATATATTTTATAGTTAGGAAAAAAGTATATTTAATTATTTATTTTGTTTGTCAAGTGTGTGTGTGTGTGTGTGTAAACGATATGCACTTTATATATATATACTGTATATATATATACAGTATTTTGTATGCATTTATCATTTCTAGAGATTATCATATAAAAAAAAAGTTTTTAACAAAAAAAATATATTTTTACTATTGCTATGTATTTAAACAATAACACACAAAATAAAACTAAAATAAATAATTAAAATCAATATTATAGGAGACAATGATTTTTATTTTTTTGTTGTTGTATTTATATGTCATATGCACTGTATATTAATGGCACACAATATTTTAGTTTAAATATATATATATATATATATATATATATATATATATATATATAAAATAAACGATAACAACAAAAAAATAATATATAATATATATATAGATATTTAGTTGAATATAAACTTTTTATTTTCAATATAATATTAAAAAGAGATAATAATAATAATAAAAATATTTTATACAATCAATACTCTTAAAAAAATACTGTAAAAAATTTAGTTTAAATTTATGATAATTTTATATATATATATATATATATTTAAAAATTAAATTTTAATTATTATATATTTTTTTATTTTCTATTGGCTTATATAGTATGATATGATGGACACAATGGGCAGTAATGGTGTTATGAATCTGTCTTCACGTACTACCAGTGCTACACAAAAAAGGCCATACGATAGTACCGATAGCACCGGTAGTGGTATATCCAATGGTGGTAGGTCATCGGTACCGACTACTACTACCAATACAACAACTGCCAGCAGCGGCACCGGTAGCCTAACACGTGAACAGAGGGAACAGTTAGCCCAGAGTTGTCTGAATCTATCCATTGGTGATCACGAATCAGTGGATCATCTAATGGTAAGTAATTTATTTTAATTTTATTTAATTGCAATTAATTACTAATGTTTTTATAATTAGTGTTTTATAACTATAAGAAAAAATAATTGATTTATTAAACAATGAAATTATTAATATTTTTTAAGATTTTTTAAAATTTTATTATTATAATTAATAGAATATTTATTATTTAATTATTTAGTAATTAATAATAATTTTTTTTGTGGATAAATAATTATTTATTAAAGTTTATTATTGAATTTTTTTTATATAAATATATTGAATATAAGTAGCTATTGATCAATAAATAAAACTGTATTTATATTAATTTAATTATTTTTTGTTGTTGTTATAAACTAAACTAATTTTTAAAAAAAACTACTATATTATTATTATTATATTTACATAATTTTTAAAAAATTATACTATAAAAGTTATGTCATATATATTAACGATAATAATAATAATAATAATAGTCATATCAAATATATCTATAGTGTATAACACATACAACAACAACAAAAACAACAACAAAATTAATAATATATTGGCGTGTATTTAGTAGACTTATTGTTGAACCAAAAAAAATGATAATATATATAAAAAATAATAAAATATAAAATTTATATATAACTCATAGTTATATCTATGTTTTGTTTAGTTTAGTTTCTCTCTATATATTGTATTAATATAAAAAAAAGTTTATACATATATACAGTATATATATATATATATTGATATACTACTACTACTATATGTTTAGATATTTATTATTATTTTATCTAAAATAATAATAATAATAACTATGAAATCGCGTGTATTTATTATTTGTGTTGTCGACAGTATTTTATGTATATATATATATATATATATATATTAATGTGTGTTTGTATTAAAAAATTTATGATAATATTTAGTGAGCTTAGAGAGAGAGAGAGAGAGAGAGAGAGAGAGAGATAAATATATTATTATTATTATTACACAAAATTTTTAAAAAATAAAATTATTATTATTATTATTATTATTTATAGATATAAAACAAATATGCAAAACAAAATTTTCTACTAATATTATATTATCATGTATTACACTCTATATATTATATTATATATTAAATTTAATTTATATTTACTACTAATATTTATTTAATTAAATTTATTTATTTATTTTGTTATTGTTATTGTTGTTGTTAAATTTATTTTTATCGTGATATAAGGTTATTAAAATTATATATATATATATAAAAATAATATTATTAATAATAATAATTGAATGAAAACTAGTATTACAGTAAACAGTTTTGTTTTGCAAATTTGTTTTTGTTGTCAAAAAATAAAGATATTATTAATCATTAAATTTGTTTGCTATGCAAAAAAAATATTAATAATAATTTAGTTTTTTTTTAATTTGGTTATTGATTTTATGTTTTTTTAATAATTATATTTTTTTAAGAAAAATAACTAATTTGATTTCTATATAATGTTTATATATATATATATATTAGTTAAAATAAATAATTTATTTTATTTAAATTATCTATAAAATAAATTAAATTATTAATATGATATATATATATATAGATATTTTCAAATAAAAATTATATCAATAATTAATTAATTACACAATTTATTTAGCAATAGTTTTTTGAATTTATTTGTTTATGAAAAATAATAATTTTATTTTAAAAAATACTTATTTAGACATTAATTAAAAAATTTTATTTTATTTTTACTTAAACTTATTGTATAATTGATATTAAAATGTTAATATTAAATATATTAATTACAATAATCTATATTGTAATATAGATATTATATAATAGATTGAAATATTTCATATATATATATATGATAATTAATGTGTATTACATAACAATTATTTTCTATTATAATTATAATTTTTACACTTAATAATAATAATAATAATATTATTATTATTATAAAACTAATTATTACAAAATAATATATTTTGTTATTATTAATGAATTAGTTTTATATAAAGTATTATTAGTTTTTTTTTGTTAAATTAGAAATAATATTTACATTACAACAATTAAAACAAAATAACATTTCTATTAATTGATCTTGATACAATATGTGTTATTATTATTATTATTGTGGAAATATTTATTTTTACAAATAAATAATATATTATTTATATATAAATACTGTATATAAATATCTATACTTTTTCAACAACAAAAAATGTTTTATAATTTTTGTATAATAAAACTTTTATATACATAAAATAATAAAAACTAGTATAATGTTTGCATAAATATATATATATATATATATATAATATATATATTTATATATATTACGACAATTGAATAACTTTCTATCACTTACTTATTATAAATGTTGTTTTTTAAACTTTTATAATAATAATAATAATAATAATAATAACTATACTATTTGTCAGTTACTATATATATATATATAGTATTGTATATATATATATATATATATATATATATAGTATTGTATATATATATATATATATATATAGTATTGTATATATATATATATATATATAGTATATATATATATATATATATATATATATATATATATATATATACACAATACTTTACATATACAATGATGAATAAAAATCAAATAAAAAATTTTTTGAAAAATATAAAATTATATTACATTTTTATATACAGTACATATGTATCATATATTTGTGTCGACACAATAATAATAATACTAATAATTCAAACAATATGATTGGTGTAATCCCTTTCCTCCTTTAAACATCATCTCTATATAAATATATATATATATCTATTTATATACTACTGTATCCATCATTGATGTATACATTATATATGATATATATGTATATAATATATACAGTACTTTAATATTGATATATATAAATATAAGTATTTATTCAATTCAAATGCTTGAGGTTATACTATACATATATTACATTTAATACTATATATATATATATAGTACTAACTATTTTTTATTTTTTTGAAACATAAACAAAATAAAAATTATATATTTTTTTAAAAATAAATCCTTAATTATTTCACACTATAGATAAAATAAATATCTATCTATAATATCTATACTATATATATACTGTATATTTATAACATATGTCGACAATACTATAAATATATCATCGATAAGTTGTCTGATAATATTATAGCTAATAGATATATAAGTATATAAAAGTCAAACAGTTATGTGTGTTAGTGTATGTGTGTGTGTGTGTGTGTGTGTGTGTGTGTGTGTGTGTGTGTGTGTGTGTGTGTGTGTGTGTGTGATATATATATATATACTAAGTAAGAGAGAGAGAGAGAGAGAGAGAGAGAGAGAGAGAGAGAGATGACACGAAAATCACTAAAATGATTATCTCAGCGAAAGATATATATATATATACTGTATATATATACCTGAGTTTTACCTATAATTATCTATATTTGCTGCTAAATATGGGGGAAATGTATGTAATATTTAGTACATATATAAAATAAAATAATAAAACTATGAGTTAAAAGGATTACTATCCTCTCTCTCTCTCTCTCTCTCTCTCTCTCTCTCTCTCTCTCTCTCTCTCTCTCTCTCTCTCTCTCTCTACATACTATATGAATAGGCGGAGCTGACTATTTATATATATATATATATATAATTGTTTAATATAAATATAATTAAATATAATATATATATATATTATTAATTATTAACTATAATAGATATTTTATTATGTACTTAATACCAATACTAGCAAAAAAACATATAACATCACAAAAAAATAAATAAATAAATAAAATAACTAATATTAGGCTATTTATTAATGTTACATTATAGCTTATATACTGTATATATATATATATATATATATATATATATATATATATATATATATATATATAGATTTATTTATTATCCATTAATTATAAGATAACATATATAATCAATATATATATATATATATATAATATTTAGCTATTTATTTAAGATTTATATATATATATATAGTTTAGTATTTTATCAATAGTATCAACTAATTATACACAAAAAATTATTTATAGTAATATATAGATTGCATTAATAAAATTTATTATAGTAATTGAATATTTAATTATTTGTCTAAATATAAATATAAATTTTATTAAACTTTATATAATATATCAATAATAATAATAATTACGATCATGCTTATGAAATTTAAATAAAATTATTATTAAATAATTTTATCAATTATATTACGTGACTTATAGTAAAACAAAACAAAACAAAAAACAATTGCCAATAATAATAATTATATTAATATTTATTCATATATTAATATATTAATATATATATATATTATATTATTATTTTATTTTTGTTTAGTTTGAAAATTAATTTATAATGTATCAGTAAACTACTACTACTACTACTACTACTACTACTACTACTACTACTAATAATAATAATAATAATTTCAATTGTTATTAAAATTATAATGTTATTGATATTTAGTAATAAACATTATTTTTTTTGTGGTATTATATACCGTATAATAAAAATAATATATTTATATTAAATTAGTTTTCAATTGAAAATCAATTAAAACAATTTCGTGCATTATTTATATATGAAATAGTAGTTTAAAAAAAATAAAGTAAAGTAAAAATAATATTATTATATTGTTTATATAAGTTAACTGTAAATATAAATTTATATAATTTATTTTATTGATATTATTGATATTATTATTACTATTTTTCTTAAATTTAATGGTGTAAATGACTATTAAATTATATAATTTATTTAGTAATTTGTTATTTTCTATGAATAAAATATAAGTAAATATATACTATACTAATAATAATAATAAATGTTTTTTTTATTAAAAAAGAAACAATAATAATAATAATTGAATATAAAAAATAAATATATTATTATTATTATTATAGGGATAATGCAATAGAAAGTTTATTTAATATATACTTTACATTATTGATATATATATATATGTATATATTTTTATTGAAATATAATAAAACTAATAATTATTTTTATATATTTATATATATATATATATATATGTTATTTTAACACAATTATTGTTTTATGACTTTTAAAAAATTATCAATACTGTGTATTTATCATAATAAATAATTATTTATTTCTATAAATAATAATTTATTAAATAAACAAAACAAAAATAATAATTTTTTTCGCATAATAAATATAAACAAAATTACATACCCTATACTGTATATTATTTTTATTATTTATATAACCGTATAATTGAATGACAAAATTTTTCACAGTATTATAACTATTATTATTATTATATATATATATATTGTAAACACTATAAGGAATTTATTTTATTAAACAATTTATACATTTATTATATTATATTATATATATATATATATATATAAAGTATTGAGAAAAATGTTGTGTGTGTTTTGTTTATTGATTTCAATATACAATATATATATATATATATTGTTATTATTGTTATTGTTATATAAAAATTATTTTTCTATAATATTATTTATTCACTTTCTATTATACAACCAAAAACAGTTATATACAGTTATACAACACATACAGTGTATTTATATAAAAGTTATTTTGTTTACATTTATACTGTTGTATATAAACTTATATACCGTATATATATATATATATACATATAGAGAGACCCTATTTTGATGACATCCCCCCCAATCCTCATCATATGAGACAGTATAGTTTATAGGTTTTACTGTTTCCATCCCTTTCCCTCCCTCCCTACCTCTCCCCCATCCCTTTATTTCATCTACCATTCCCATCAAAAACAAACAAACACACATAGTTTTGCCATAGTTATAGAGCACGGGTAGATTTTAGCATCTCTCTCTATAGTCTAACCCTAATATTAATTTCCTAACACCCCATATCTAACAGTGCAATAATATCAATATATATATATATATATATAATAAAGTAAATTCAATGCATTGTTTGTGTTTGTTTGAATTTTTGCTTATATTGAATATTATATATATATATATATATAGTATATAATAATAATAATAATACCAATCGCTTATGTCTTTTACAAACACACAGTGTGTTTGGTATTTGTTTGTATTAGTAGTACAGTTAGACATCATATGTATAGTAATATTATTGAATTTGTTTTTATATATATTATATACAAACAGTTAGAGAGAGAGAGAGAGAGAGAGAGAGAGAGAGAGAGAGAGAGAGAGAGAGAGAGAGAGAGAGAGAGAGAGCTATATTTATCTATAAGATATTGAAATATTTTTTATTTAACAAAAATTATTTATCTTAATATACAATATTATAAAATTTTTTAAAACTATACTTATCTATTGAAAAAATAAAAAAAATAATTTTTAGCTAGTTTATTATATGGTTATATTTAAAATATACTAAAAGTAATACTATATATATATATTTTTTTTGTTGCATAATAAATACAATGATTTTATGATTATAAAAAATCAGTAAAATTTTTATTTGACATTGAACTTTATTTTTTAAAAATAGACAATTTTAATATACATATATAAAATATAAAAATTGTATTAAAGTATTGTATAAAATTTTTTACAAATCAAATAAACTATATGTTTTATCTATTAGTATATATATATATTAATATATATATATATTTGAAAAAATAAATAAAATAAATAAACATAAAAAATCCCTATTTTTATTAGATATAACAAAAATTTCTATATTTTTTTATTATTATATCTATTGTTAAAATATATTTTTATAATGTATATTAAACATAATTTTTATATATATATATATATATAAACAAAAATCAATAAAATATAATTGAAATATAAATGTTTTTATATCCAATATTTCTGATGTTTTAAACTGTATATATACACACAATATATTGATATATATTTATATATAATATTATATATATATATATATATATATTATTTGAATTATTTTAATGTCTTGAATTTGTTGGACACAAAATAAATACATTGTATTTATACTGTTTTTGTTGGAAATATAGTAACAAAATAAAAAAACTAAGAGTAAATTGAAAATAAAATACAATATATATATATATATACAACAAATAAAAATAATAACAATAAATAATAAAACAAATAAAAATAAAATTATTATTTGTAGAAAAATAAAATAAAATATAAAATAAAATCCAATCATAAAAAGCAAATAGTCTTTAATACAGATTTTTTTTCTCAATTGAAATAAATTATATATAAACTATAAAATGATAATAAAAAAAATTGGTTTCAATATATATATATAGAAATTATTGTATTGTATTTGTTTAAAAAAAATAAATATTTTTTCTATTATTATTATTATTATTTCTCAAATTATTTGATGATGATTATTATTATTGTTATTATGTTAATGTTATTACTGTATATATTATGTAATATTTATTTTTTATTTTCTAACAACAAACAAAATAATGATGATAATGATTATAATAATAATAATAATAATTTTTTTTAATATACTAATAAACTATTATTATATAAAAAAAAACATTATAATTTCAAGTACAATATAATAATAATATTTTTTATGAAAATAATAATTTATCATCATGTAACAATATTATTTTTGATAATATAAGTTATCTAGTTTAGTTTATTATAACATTTTATTTATTAATATAAATTAACAATAATTTCAAAAAATTTATCTAGTTTAATTTTTTTATAAATAATTTTTAGTATATGTTTGTTAAAATAATTTAATAGCAATAAAAAACTATAAATATATAAAAATAAATAATTATAGTTAAATTAGTAAAATTAAAACTAAAAATTATTTATAAATAACTAATAATTATATATTAAATGTAATGTAGATATTATATATTTATAGAAATAATATATTTATATATAGATATAATAGTTATATAAATAATTTTTTCAACTAATTACTTAATTATTAACAATTAATTAACTATTATTAACTAAATATATATTTATTTATTTTCTAAAAAAAAATTTTTTAGTCAAAGCGGGCACGACTTGGCCTACTTAGTGACCATCAGCTGTCAAATCATATGCGAGGAGACCATAGCAACAACAACAACAGCGGTGGTAACGGTGCCGGCGGTGGTGGCCAACGATCGCCATCGCCGCCCCTATCGTCGGCCACACATGCCGGCCACCTAATGGGCGAACTGTTGGCCAGTCTATCGGTGGCCAACGGCGGCCGATTGTCGCCCAATTCGATGGCACTGATGTCTACACAGTTGCAAATGCATCATCTATTACAGTCACATGTGCTCACACCTACACAGTTGCAGCAACTGCTTCAACAACAACTACTTCACCAAAAGGTATGGATATATATGTGTATATGTGTGAAGTGTATGTGTATGTGTATGTGTATGTGTATGTGTATGTGTATGTGTATGTGTATGTGTATGTGTATGTGTATGTGTATGTGTATGTGTATGTGTATGTGTATGTGTATGTGTATGTGTATGTGTATGTGTATGTGTATGTGTATGTGTATGTGTATGTGTATGTGTATGTGTATGTGTATGTGTATGTGTATGTGTATGTGTATGTGTATGTGTATGTGTGTATGTGTATGTGTATGTGTATGTGTATGTGTATGTGTATGTGTATGTGTATGTGTATGTGTATGTGTATGTGTATGTGTATGTGTATGTGTATGTGTGTATGTGTATGTGTATGTGTATGTGTATGTGTATGTGTATGTGTATGTGTATGTGTATGTGTATGTGTATGTGTATGTGTATGTGTATGTGTGAAGTGTATGTGTATGTGTATGTGTATGTGTATGTGTATGTGTATGTGTATGTGTATGTGTATGTGTATGTGTATGTGTATGTGTATGTGTATGTGTATGTGTATGTGTATGTGTATGTGTATGTGTATGTAATTAATTGATTTTTTTCTATATAATAATAATAATTGTCAATAATTAGTGTCATTGAATTATTATTAAATTTTACTTATGTTATTTTGTGTTGTGGGGACAGGGAGCCGACCAGCTACAGGAGCAATTACATATGAACATTGTACAACAGGGCCAACTGTATCATCAGTTAACCTCAAATAGTAAGTGTTATACTGTATATACAGTATATAAAGTATGATATCTTATATTAATTATTACTACTAATAATAATATAATTAAATATTAATAAATAAAAAATCCATAACAATAGCCACCCAGTAGTAGTCAATCATTAGTCTACCTACCGGTGCCCATATTTATAGAGGGGTTTTTCCTACATTATATACTGTACTTACATATAAAACCATTTATCAATAATTAAATTTTATTATTAAACAAAATTAAAAAAAATTATTTTTATTAATTTTATAATACATTTAAATTTTAGTATATTTTTATATAACTTTTTATTATTATTTTTTTTTCTTTACAATTTCAACCCTCACATTGACATTGAATTTGTTTATCATCTAAATATAAATAAATTGTTTATATTAACAATAATACTATTAAAGTATTATATTATATTATTTTGTTGTTATTGTTTAAAAATCTGTTATTTATTTGAAAAATTTTTTCATTAAAAATTTTTGTATATATTATAACACACACATACAATACATACAAACATACACATACACATACACATACACATACACATACACATACACATACACATACACATACACATACACATACACATACACATACACATACACATACACATACACATACACATACACATACACATACACATACACATACACATACACATACACATACACATACACATACACATACACATACACATACACATACACATACACATACACATACACATACATACATACATACATACATACATACATTCATCAAACATACATACATACTTTTATATTAGTTTTATATTACTAGATTATTTAGCTTAAAAACATTTATACATAATATACTTGTATGTACCGGTACATTTTTTTACAATTTTACATTTACATTGATTTAGTTAGCAACAAAAAAAAAACATTTATTTTATTTTTTTTTAGATTACCTTGAAAATTTATGCATTTTTATTTTCAATCAAATTAAATTTCATATTAAAAATTCGATTTAAATAAATATAATAAAATATATATATATAAGTAATTCGCGATAAAATATAAAATAAAAAAATGTTTTATATATATAAAAAAAAAATATAATACAATATAATATAATTTACAGTTACTGTATGTCCCGGTTATGTATGACTTTATATTATTAATTTATATATTATATATGTAATTTTTTGTGTAGGGCTTACCTGTATTTTTATTTTATTGCCCGGGATTTTCAATTATATATATATACTTATATATAAATCTATTTAATAATAATTTCATTTAATAATTTTTTCATATTTTCAATATATAAAAAAATTATTTTATGTGTTAACAAAAATTTTTATACGGTTTGTTAAAATACAATAATTATTATTGTGTTAGCATTAATAAAAAAAAAATAAATTTTGATATAAAATTTAACTAAAAAATAATTTTATTTATTAAATCATTTTCCAAGTATTGCTAATTTAATATTTTTTTTTGTATATTATTTTATTTTTATGAAAAAATTTGCCATTAATTCAACTAAAAATTTGTTTTTATTGTTGAATTAATTATAGGATATAATTATATTAATTATTAGTTTTAATTTAACATCAAATATATATATATATATATAACTATATATATCTATTAATCTAAAAATCTACTCAAAAAATTAATTAATTAATTTTAATTATTTTTTTGCATTCAAAAGGTTCACTTCAACCATATTTATCGGAAATATGGAAATCAATGCCTCAATCGGCGGCCGCGGCCGTCAATCAACAACAACAACTGTCACCTACGGGACAGCCGCCGACACCAATCGGACAGTTACCGTTGCCGATGATGACCAGCGAGGAACTGATCGGCAGTTTGCTATTGTCGGGTAAGGCTGGTGGCGGCGGTGTCGGTGGCCTCAACGGTATGTCATCTGCGGCGGCAGCACTTACGGCCAATATGGCGGCCGCCAATAGCGCCTATATGAACGGTGACGGTATCGGTTTGGGTAACGGTCATCATCACAGTAGTTTGGCTGCGGTAGCGGCGGCCGAAAGTCTACAAGCGGTACTCTACGGTCATAATATGTGCAAATGGCCGGGCTGTGAACAGGTATGCGACGATTATGGCCAGTTTGTCAAACATTTGAATATGGAGCACGGGCTGGATGATAGAAGTACTGCCCAGGCCAGGTATGTAATCATGTAGTGTTTTTTTTGGTATTATGTAATAGTACTGTATATACTGTGTCTATATATATAGGATAGGTTAGGTTTAGGTAGGTTATGTAGATTACGTTATATAGGGTTAATTATAATAACAATGTATTTATATATATAATGTTTGTGTGTATGTGTGTGTGTGTGTGTRTGTGTGTGTGTGTGTGTGTGTGTGTGTGTGTGTGTGTGTGTGTGTGTGTGTGTGTGTGTGTGTGTGTGTGTGTGAGTGTGTGTGTGCAATCCTAGCTATTTCCAAATAATATTATTTGATTTTAATTATAATTAAAAATCTAAATTTTATTTATAATAATAATAATAATATTTATTTATTATTATTATTATTACAAATAATATTTATTTCTCTCTCTCTCTCTCTCTCTCTTTCTATCTCTCTCTCTCTTACAGTATATATATATATACTGTAAATAAATTATATACACTATGTATTGTATATGAATAGCCAATTATATACACAACAAAAAATTTACAACTAATCTAAACATTAAAATCATTAAAAAAAATCTATTATTTATTATAATTTTTTTTATTAATTAATTATTATATTATATATATATATATATAGAGTTCAGATGCAAGTCGTCCAACAATTGGAGCAACACTTGGAACGGGAAAAGGATAGGTTGGCCGCAATGATGCAACACTTGCACAACAAACACCGGGCCCAGCAGTCATCGACATCATCGACACCTCCCTCCACCACCACCTCAAGTATACGACTGGCCCCACAATTGCCGGCCGAATTCAAGCATCTGCTACACCAGCACAGCACCAGCGACGGCGGCCGTGACAGCCGAGACAGTATAGGTTTGTCAATCAAACCGGATGATCTAATGATGGACAGACAGTCGTACAGTTTGCGTGGCGGCAATCATACATCAAACGGCGGTCGTCTATCGCCGCACGGCTGTATGTCGTCGCCATCGCCGCCACCGCCGCCGCAATCGATGCCGCTATCGATGACGTCGTCGTCKACTGTATTACCGCCAGCACACCATCACAACAGCCATCATCATCACCAGCACATGTCGCTGATGTCGGTAGTCGACGATCTACACCAACAACACCATCACCTCAACCACAACAACAACGGCGTCGGCAGCGGCGGTGGCGTTGTTGCCGCCAAAGTAGTCAATCGTAAGACATCGATGATTACGCCGCCGCCCACTGCATCGCGACCGCCACCAATGGATACGTCGCCGCCGCTGATGATCGGCGCAGCCGTTATTACCAGTGCTGCCAATGCTGGCACTACTGGTACTGGCAGTGGTCGCGGAGGCGGTGGCCGTCGACGTTTGAGCGACAAATCGGGTACCACTACTACTACTAGTAGTAGTAATTCGCTACCGAAACCGTTGGTATTGAACGGCGGTATTATTAACGGCGGCGTTGGTCACGATGACGGCGGCGATCTGTCTATGTTTGGCTACTGCGGCGGATCGTTGCCCGACTCGCCCGCCCGCCGGCGTATAGCCGAACGCAGCAATCTGGACATTACCGAAGAGATTACCCGAAACCGGGAATTCTATAAGAATGCCGAAGTCAGGCCACCGTTTACTTATGCGTCGCTTATCCGACAGGTATGTCCTCTATCTCTCTAACTGTATGTATAAGAGGTGTCTAATAATCTTTTAACCGTTTTCTTTCCTACCGTCACCTCACCTACCAGGCCATCATCGAGTCATCAGATAAACAGCTGACTCTAAACGAAATATACAATTGGTTTCAAAATACTTTCTGCTATTTTCGCCGAAATGCCGCCACTTGGAAGGTATGTCCTCTCTCTCTCTCTGTCTGTCTCTCTGTCTCTCTGTCTCTCTGTCTCTCTGTCTCTCTGTCTCTCTGTCTCTCTGTCTCTCTGTCTCTCTGTCTCTCTGTCTCTCTGTCTCTCTGTCTCTCTGTCTCTCTGTCTCTCTGTCTCTCTGTCTCTCTCTGTCTATACCTTTCAAAAAAAAATATCTCATACCTACCTGTCCTCTAACTAGAATGCCGTACGACATAACCTATCGTTGCACAAGTGTTTTATGCGTGTGGAGAATGTCAAGGGCGCCGTCTGGACAGTGGATGAAATGGAGTTTTATAAGCGCCGTCCGCAGCGACTACAGGAGCGCATATCATCGGGTGGTTCGTCGGGTGGCGACAATAAAAACGGCGGCACCGGCGATGACGAGTTCAATACGAGCTACTGGAGTGCCGACGAAATGGATTTGACTGTCGGCGGTCCGACCAAACCGCCGAAAACAGCGGCCACCAAAAAGTCTATACCCCGTGGCCGACCAAAACGGTCGTCGCAGGCGGCGGCGGCAGCCGCCCAGGCCAAGTTGGACTCGGCCGGCGGAGTCAATATTAATCGCTCGATATCGTTGACCAGTGGCGGCTCATTGACCGAATCATCGGCAGCCCATATGGCGCTGATGGACCTGACCTGCGGCGGTGGTGCCAACAGTGCACCAAACAGTGCCGGCATTATTGGCTACGGCGGTAGCGGTGTCGGTGGTAGTGGTGGTGACCACTCGCTAAACGTATCGCTACAGGCGCTTACCGAACATTCGCTGGCCGGCGGCGTCGGTATCGGCGGTGGTTTACCACCGTTTCTCAGAGGACTAACTACTACAGCCACTGGTGTAGTCGGTCGGCTATCGGGTACACCGTCGCCGACAACACTGTCCCGATCGCCGCCACTGTCGTCGTCGGCGACGGCGGCGGCAGTTATCAGACGTTTCAGTGCCGAAGATGATGAAGAAGACGACGAGTTTGAAGACGACGACGAAGAAGAAGAAGATAACGACTATTATGACGACGATATGATGGATGAAGGACTGGATCTGTCTGTTAGGCCGTCATCGGTGGCCAACAGTCGCCGAAATAGTAGCGATAATAATAGTAATAATAATTTGTTGTTGAAAAATGGTTATAAAATTAGCGCCGATTCCTATAATAATAGTAATAATAGTAGTAATAATAATTCAATTAAAAATAGTTATAATAATAATAATACTAATAATAATTTAATTATTAGTAGAGACAATAGTAATAGTAGTAATACTAGTATTAATAGTAATAATAGTAATAATAGTAATAATAGTAATAAAATTAATAATAATATTAGTAATAATAATATTGATATCAATGATGAAGAACCAGAAAGTTTGTCGTCGACGACAACAACAACACCGACGACAACAACAACGACAACCACAACAACAACTAGTGATGAAAATAGTTGTAATAATAATAATAATAATATTAGTACTAAACTAGTGGTACATAAAGATAATAGTAATAATAGTAATAGTAGTAACAAATTTCAAACAACTTGTCTACCAATTAATAGTGATAACAATGATGATAATGATGTCGATGTCGATGATGTCGATGATGTCAACGATGATAATAATGTAGACATTAATACTAAATCAATTGATAATGATATCGATAGTAGTAGTAGTAGTAATAGTAGTAGTCATCGACAATAGTTTTTTTTTGTATGTGTCAATTAATTTTAATTTTTTTTATATATATAAATATAATTATTATTAATGAAATAAATATGTTTAGATTTTTTTTTTTGATTTTGAAAATTTAAATTTTTGATATTATATTATATATATATATATAAATATTTTTTTTGTTTGTTTGTTTAAATTTAGTCACTAATTATTATTATTATTATTAATATAAATATATATTATTATTATTATTGAATATAATTGTCAAATTTGTAAGCCATTATTATTATTAAATATATATATATATATATAATTTTTTTTTATAATTATTATTATAATTATTATTTTTTTCAAAATATTATTTATATATACACACACACAGTATATAYATATAAAATAATTTAATAATTTAATTATAATTATCCAAATATGAAGATTATTATTATAATTATTGAAAAAAATATAATTTAGATAAATATTATTATTATTATTATATAATATAATTATAAATGTTTTTTTTCAGTTTGTTTATGAATCATATAATATAAATATATATATATAATTGTAATTATTTAAAAAAAAACAAAAATCTAATCTACATTTATAATTAATATTATAATTATATTTACAATTATTATTATTGATATAACTTATCTAATTTGATGTTTAATAATTTGTATTTTATTAATTAATTAATTAATTCAATTATCATTATTTTAAATTTAGTTATATATATATATATATATTTAAGTTTGTTAAATGTTTTTTTTAATTAAAAAATTTCATTCATACATTCAAATCAATCACATTCACAATTATATATATATAAAAATATATATATAAAACACAAATATTATTATATTATAATTAATTACTTATAAAAAACATTATCATTTATAAATAAAATATAGACATATAATATATAATTTAATAAACAGTTTATATGATAATAATAATAATAAACACAATTGTAATAATTAGCCCAAAAAAAATTTAGTCAAATTTATAAATATATATATAAAGTATATGAGTAAACATAAAATATAATAAATTGATAATAATAATGATAATATTTTAAATTTTTTAGCTAGATAATTTTTTTATATTAAATAATAATTGCTATTTAAAAAAATGGTTTTTTTTAATTTTGAATTTTGAACAGCAAATAAATGTTTAATAATAATATATACAGTAATTATAATTGAGAGCAAAAATTATGTACAAATTTTTTGTTTGTTTGAAAATAATAATAATAATAATTGAATTTAAAAAAAACATTTTATTTTCTAAACAAATAATATATATATATAAACTTATAAACCATATCAATATATTTTTTTCATAGTTTATGTATAATTATAAAATTAAATGAAAAATTAAATAAACAATTATTTATGAATTTTAAAAAATTATTTTTAGATATGATTTTGTTTTTTTAGATAAATTTATAATTTAAAAAATAATTGTTTTTTTTATAAATTACAATTAGAGCCGTCCGATTATTACAATATTATTATTATTATTATTATTAACAAATAAAATAAACATAAACAAAACAACAATTTATAAATTTAATACAGTAATAAAAATTTATCTGGATAATAAATAATAATAATTATTAAAGTTATTTATAATATCAATCATATCAATTAATTTTTTAGCTAGATAATATATAAATATATATATATATAATTTTATTACACATACAATCATTTTTCATACATTAATTAAAAAAAATTAAAAGATTTTTATATTTTTAAAACAAAATAATTTATATAAATATATAAACATTCAGTAATTCATAAAATAATAATAATTATTATTAATATTAATATATTGAACATAATTGTAGTATAATTTAAATAATAATAATAATAATAATAAATTTACTAGATTAAATAATCATATTATTATTTATATATATATCTAAAAAAATGATCTAGTACCAACATGATAATATATGATGATAATAATAATAATAATTAATAAATAATTTTTTTTAAAAAATAAAATAAATGTACATCGAATATACAGTATTGATAAAATTGAAATTAAAAATTTATAAAAAAAATCATTTAAAACATGGATAATTTTTAAAAAAAATAATAATAACAAATTTTACAATTTATTGTATACAAATAAAATTAAATAAATATTAAAAATCAATGTAATTTGTATTAATTAATAAATATCCATAATTAAAATTAATAGATATTATTATTATTATTTAAACAAACAAACAAACAAACAAACAAAAATCTATTGTTATATTTACATATAATCTATAGATAGATATATATAGTTTGTAATTATTATTTTATAAATAAAATAATAATATTAATAATCAGTTAGTTTTAATTTATTGTAAAACCATATTATTATTTTTTTTGTAATTTAATTTTAAATATTGTGTGATTGTATATTTATAGAAAATTTATTAAAAAAAACAAATTGTAATTTATCTAAATTATATTTAGTACAAATAAATAATTAAATTATTATTATTATCATTATTATTATTAATATGACTATTTTAATAACAATTACAAGTGTATATTGAAGTTTTTTTTAATATCCTATATTAATTTGTTTAGTATTATTATTATTATTATAGTAAATATTTTATGTAACATATGATATTAATTAAAAAAAATAAATAAATAAACATTTATTTGATTTTTTAGTCATTGATTAAACAAAAAATTATTTTTATTTTTTGTGTGTATTTTTGATACTTAGTTTAATGTATTATTTGATTTGATTTTAAATATAATAATAATTTTTAATCAATTTATATATATAAACTATTAGTTAACAATAATAAAGACAAAACATGTATTAATATTAAAATTTGTAAAAAATTGTAATTTAAGTAATTGTTTTCAAATATTATTATATTAAACTGCATTTAGTATAATATATATATATATATATATAAAACTATTAAATTTTTTAATAATTATTTTCTAAATGCAATATTTTATTACATATTATTACATAACATTTATAAATATATTATAATAGTAATTATTATTATATATTAATAATATTATAGCTAAAAAAACGTTGAACTTTTATTTAGTTTAATAATTTTATTAAAAAATCTATTAGTTATTTTGAAATATTATTTTTTTTCAAAATAAAATATAATAGTTTGTTGTGTAATTGAAATAATAATAATAATTAAAATAAAATATAGTAATAATTTAGTTATTAATTAATATATATATATATATATGTTATAATTATTATTATGGAAATTTCAAATTTACATATCAATAGTTTATTTTATTTTTATTTTTTAAATAATAATAATACAGTTTATTGAACACTATATTGAATGCCAAACAAATTAATAATAATAATAATAAAAACAATATACAGTATAAATCTTTTAGATATTATATATATATTGTACATGTATTAATATATTACATAAATTTTTTATAATAATTAAATATATAACAGTATAATATATTTTATCACAAGTGCATGTACTGGTAATAAATAATTATTTTTATTTTTTGTTGAAAATAATAAATATTTTTAATGTACAATATATGCAATTTTATTTTACTACAATATCTATTACAACCCTCACAAATACACACAACAAAAAATTGTGATAATATTTATTAATTTTAATAAATTTATCATTAATTAATATTTTGTGTATAGTATATATATATATAAATAATAATAATTATTATTATACAATATCTACTAAAAACTACTATTATTTTTAATTTTATTATTATAAATATCCATTTATATATATATATTTATAAATTGATCATGGAACAATGTTCAAAAATTTTATATAAAGCTCAAAAGCAGCATCATCAACATCATCATCATAATAATAAAGCTAAATCATCAAGCAACAACAATAACAATACACATAAGTTATATGTACAAGCAAAAAATTGTACAATAAAACTACCATTATATCCACAAGTAAGTTTAATTTTTAAAAAAAAATTAATTAATTAAAATTAATAAATAAAAATAATTTATTTTTAAAAAAATAAATAATTTTTAGAAAATAATTATAAATTTATTTTTTATTTTTAAAAATATCAGTTATATTACGAAAATGGCAATCAATATATCTATGTATGCGGTCTATGGTTGGCCAGATTATTGGCAAAATGGTTGTCACGGTTTTGTACGATTAAATTACAACAGTTTCACAGTTATCGTAGTCATGGCGGAGCTTTGAATCTATTTAAATACAATGTATGTGTGTGTGTGTATGTGTTTATTGGTGTGATTCACATATTACGTTAGCACTTGAGGGGGAGTGGGGTGGGTGTGTCGGCCAAAGAGAACTAACTATATGAGAAAAAAATGCGATCATATTAAAGGGGGAGAGGGGGCGGTCTAGATTTCTCAAAAAATTCGTAATATGTGAATCACCTCCAAAATAAATAATTAATTTTTATATAATAAAAAATAATACTTAATAAATTAAATGTATTAATTTTATAATATTTTTATTTCAAAATTAATACATTTAGTTAATTTTAATATTTTTTATTTCAAAATTGATTAAATGTATTAATTTTATAACAATTTTTATTTAAAATTAATACATTTAGTTAATTTTAATATTTTTTATTTCAAAATTAATACATTTAGTTAATTTTAATATATTTATTTAAAATTAATACATTTAGTTAATTTTAATATTTTTTTATTTCAAAATTAATTAACAAAAAAAAACAACTATTATATATTCAAAAAAAAGTTTAGCGATATAGCATTGACAGGTATCGTACAAACCAGTAATCAAACGGATCTAATAGGGTTTACACCACCGCATCGGATAAGCTATCAGTTGTCAATAGTATCTCTGGAAACCTACCGAAGCTATTCAAACCTGAATGTATTTAACGGTTTGGATCGTAATATTTGGCTAATGTTTTTCATATTTGCGGGTATTTTGGCCGCTATTTGTACAGTTAGACTGTTTATCAATGATAATAATAATAATAATAATAATAATAATGATAACCTTGATGCTAAAAATCATGATCACCATGATCAGTTTATTAATAAACTAGTAGCCAGGTACACTAAAGAGTGTCTAGCTAATTTGGAACCATTCTATACGGATGTTTCAGGTAGGTACAATTTTTTAAAAAAAAATTATATTATTTAGTTTTTTTAACTAAAAATTAATAATATTTAAATTATAAATTATACACTAGCTAATTAATACTACTACTAATAATAATATTTTATATATATTTAAAATTCAATGTTTTATACATTTTGAATTGATATTTTTTTAAAAATAATTATAAATAATATACTAGCTAATTAATAATAATATTAGTATTWTATATATATATTTAAAATTCAATGTTTTATACATTATAAATTTATAATAATATTTTTTTGAAATGATAATATTTAACTTAAAAAAAATAATTATAAATAATAAACAAGCTATTTAATTATAATTATAATATTAGTATTTTATATATACTTAAAATTCAATGTTTTATACATTTTGAATTGATATTTTTAAAAAAAAATAATATTTAAATTCAAACATAATTATAAATAATTAACTATATTTAATAATAATATTATTTTATATATTTAAAATTCAATGTTTTACACATTTGAATTGATAATATTAAAATCCAAAAATAATTATAAATAATAAACTAGCTATTTAATTTTAATAATACTATTATTATTATACATATATAATTGAATGTTTTACACATTATGTATTCATAATTTATTAAATTTTTAACAAAAATTATTTTATTTTTATTTAATTTTTTTTTAAAAATAATTTAGATTCTCGTAAAATTTACAAATATGGCAAACTAATTACCACAGTCCTAGTACTGTGGGTGTGCACGTGCAGACTGTTGCACGTTGCGTGCGAGGGTACCATTTTGGCCAATATTGTCGACATTAGGAGGCATACGATCGAGACGTTCGCCGATATTAACGCACGTGGACTGACTGCCTATGCTGTAGGCGATGCCTATGTGGCCGATCATGCGGTAAATAATTATTAATAATAATTATTATTATAATTATAATTATAATATATTAATATATAAATATATAAACATTCAATAATTCATAAAATAATAATAATTATTAATATATTGAACATAATTGTAGTATAATTTAAATAATAATAATAATAATAATAAATTTACTAGATTAAATAATCATATTATTATTTATATATATCTAAAAAATGATCTAGTTTTAATATGATAATATATGATGATAATAATAATAATAATTAATAAATAATTTTTTTAAATAAAATAAATGTACATCGAATATACAGTATTGATAAAATTGAAATTAAAAATTTATAAAAAAAATCATTTAAAACATGGATAATATTAAAAAAAAATAATAACAAATTTTACAATTTATTGTATACAAATAAAATTAAATAAATATTAAAAATCAATAATAATAATAATAATAATAATAATTTTTTCTAATATTTTTATTAAATATTTTTATTAATTTATTATTTTAATAGATATTATTTTGTTTTTTATAATAATAATAAATTTTAATTCAAAAGTCAAAACTAGTGAAAAAAATCAAATTCATATTCAATGGCGACCCGACCCGGGATAACATAACCGACCAATTGATTGCCGGCACACATGTACTACTCTACCGGGAGGACGATGCCATTGAATACGTCCAGGCGTTACGACGTCGTTACGCTATACCCTTGCATATTGGACGGGAAAAACATGACTTCCTATTGGTTGGCTATGTCTACAATAAGCTAACTGTCCGCCAGAGAGAACAGCGTATAATTAATAAATTGTAAGTAATTTTTTAAATTTTAAATTTAATTTTTAAATTAAAAAATTTTTTTTTTATATAGAATTAGAACAATCCTGGAATCAGGTATTCCTGACGCCTATAGACGTGTCCGTCACTATAAAACCCGTCACAAAATACAATTAGATTTACTTAATAGCAATAATAATAATAATAATGACTATACTAGCGGTTTATCGGGTGGTGGTGGCGGTGGCGGTGGTCAACATCATCGGCCGCTGACCGCACACGACATGTTTGTTGCCTTCAATTATCTGCTAATCTGTCTAATGGTTAGTCTAGTAATACTAGTCTATGAGATAATATATCTAACACATTGTTGTCTATGTTGAGTGTCATATCATAAAATCGGTTATATAACTGATATAAACTTAATAATAAATGTATTTTAATTAATTAATTAATTGTCAAATTTTATGTAAAAAATAATGTATTTTTTTGTTTATTTGTTTGTGTATATATATATGTTAATTTGTGTATATTTTATTTAAAAAATAATTTTTAATTTAAATATTTAAACACTTATATGAATGTATATATATATAAAGTTTTTTTTAAATAATAAAATTCAATACTTATAATATAATAAAACTATTGATAATTTATAAAAATTAAATTATTTATATATAATTATTAATTTTATGTTTTTTTAAATTTTTTATTTACATTAAAATAAAAACATTTATTTTATTTTTATTATATTGTAGTTATTTCTCAAATAATTACATGATTTTTTAAGTTAATTATTTTTTTTTATTTTCATAACAAAAAAAACAATAGTGTTTAGACAAACAGCGCACATGTATACAATAACAACAACAAACTAGACATATCTCTGCCATTAATACTAGTAAACTGATGGCCAAACCGATTAGTAGATAATTAAATGACACAAACATATCCTGTAGGGTTAGGTCGCGAACCCGGTATTTATTATTTAGTAATAAATTGCTTGTTGTTGTTGTTATTGATATATTGTAACGGTGTTTATAACTGCGGACACGCCTATGATGGTCAGGTATACCCGACTCTAGTATTGTACGTATTCTATGTACAAAACAATTGTTATTTTTTTAGATGAAAAAATTAGCATGCTAAATATATTTTTTATAAAAAAAATTAGCATGCTAAATATTATCTAGAAAAAAAATTAGCTTGCTAAATATTATTTAGAAAACAAAATTAGCATGCTAATTATATATTTTTTATTAAAAAATTAGCATGCTATATATTTTTTTACATAAAAAATTAGCATGCTAAATATTTTTTTATAAAAAAATAACATGGTAAATATTCTATTTAGAAAAAATTAACATGCTATATATTTTTTTAGTAATTAAATTATCATGTTAAATTTTTTTTATATATAAGTAAACAACTAAACAAAAATTTAACATACAATTTGTTAATAATATTGACATCCCTGACCCTAACTGTACGTCTATTGTATAGATAGGATACCAATAGTAAGTCCAATTTTTCCCGACCCATATGCATAGGTATAGCGTATCTATCCCTCAATGATCGGCAATATTCAATGGCATCGTCCTCACGATAGACCAGTATATGGGTGCCGGCTATTAGCCGATTGGTTACGGTATCTGTTTTATAATCGCCCGGATTATTCATAAATATAATTTTGCTAGCTAATTTTTTCTATTAATAATTTAATTATTATTATTAGTATTAGTATCTAGATCAAATTTATTTATATACCACATGTTTAGCTACATAAGCATTTTTAATGGCATAGACAGTCAATCCTCTAGTATTAATATCGGCAAACGTCTCAATCGTATGCCTCCTTAAATCGACTATATTAGCCAATACAGTACCCTTAGAAAACTCATGTAGTAATCGGCAACCAATTAGCCATAAAATTATTAGCCAGGCCAATTGTTGTCTACAATTAATATGTCTATTATCTATCAAATCAATCAATTAAATATAGTTTTTATTAATTAATTAATTAATTAGTTTTTTTTTGGTAACTAATGGTACTTTTTATGATTAGAAAATATCTAATAGTACTTAACTGTAGACATCTGTATAAAATGGTTCCAAATTACTAATTAGTTGTTTAATAAATTTATTAGCTATACTACTAATACTAATATTTTTTAATTTAGTAAATTTATCATGATCAAATAAAACCATTAGTAGGCTAATCATGAGGACAGTCGTATAGAATACTAGCCAATTAGTTAGGTCCAGACCATTGAATACATTATTAAACAACTGGTAGTCTTCTAACTGTCCACTAGTTTCAACAATGCCAACAATAGCTAACTGATAGCTGATCCTATGCGGGGGCGTATAGGCCCTGATTAGACTTGAATTGATTTTATTGTTAACCGATTGTTGGACTACACCGTAAAGTACTAAATCGCTTATCTATTATTATTTGTTAAAAAATAGAAAAATAAAACAAATATTTAAAAAAATAATAGAAAAATAAAACAAATAGTATTTTTTGAAAAATAAAATAGAAAAATAAAACAAATAGTATTTAAAAAAAATAATAGAAAAATAAGACAAATATTTTTTTATAAATAATAGAAAAATAAAATAAATATTATTTTTTAAATAAAAAAAACTTTACTAATTAATTAATTAATTAAAACATTTATACATTTTTTCCAAATAACCTAGATGATTTACCAGTATGACTAAAACTTTTATACAATTGTAATTCAATTTGGCAATGCTGGTGATTAAGCCATTTAGCTAATTGTTGTATTAGCCATATTGAACAATCAATTAGGTAACCATAATAATATGAATTGTTGCCGCCATTGTTAATTGATTTATGTATCTATTATTTAACAAAAATATATATATATATAAATATATAATTATTTTAACAAAAATTAAAAAAAAATAAACTAAAAAATTTTACTTTTGGAAAAATGGCAATCCTAATTGTACAATTAGATTTTTGGTGGCTACTCAAATTACCATGGTTAATTAAATTGGACATATATYTGGCTATGTTARCTAAYTTATTATTATTATTATTATTATTTAATGTATTATTATTAAAATTATTAATTATTATTTTAGGTATTAATAATGTTGTACAATGTTGATCCATAATTTTTAATAACTATTAATATTTAGGTTTTTAATATATATAGTATCAAACAATATTAATATATTATATGTTTTTTACACTATAATGTTATCAATATTATAATTATTAAATTATATATATAAATTAATATATTTTTTTCAAAATATATTAACAGTACATTGTCTTCAATAATAATAATAATAATAATTTAATATATGATTTATGTATTAATAAATATTCATTAATATATTTTTTTTATTGATAACAATATTTCAATTTGCATATTAATAATAAATATTGAAAAATTAATATCATATATAATAATAATAAAATTTAATATTATGCAAAAAAATAATAGTTGAATATTCATCAATAAAAATCAATAATTTTGTCTTTAATATATATCTAATAATATTTGATAGAAAATAATATTTTTATTAATATAAAAATAATTTTATTAAATTTTTCTAATAATTTTTTTGGATTTAATTAATAACTTTCTAAATATAATTTTAATTTAATTATATTTTGTTAAATTAATTATTAGCACATTAATAAAATAAAATAATAAACCAAAATAAATAAAATCCAAAATAAGTTATAATTAATATAACAGATATTAAAATAATTATTAAACAAAATTATTTATATTTTTATCTAATAAATTAACACCATTTCTATCATCAACTTGTGATTTATGATAAAATAAAACAAGATTTTTGTTGTTATGTTTATCTTATTTTTTAAAAATGTTTTTGTTTTTATTATTATTATTATTTAAAAACCGGATATAATTTTATAGTATATATACTATATATATATTAACACATAATTAGAGATTACTTTTTTTAAAAAGATTGTAAACATTTTTGTTATATATATATAATTACTGTATATATGATATAATATTATTATTTAAAGAAAAATATAACAAAAAATAATAATTATTATTTTTTTGTGTATATATTTTAATTTTATGTTTAAATTCCGGTAATACACACACATATAATTAGCTATAAATTATAAAACAACAACAAAAAAATAAATAACAAAATGTTTATGTTGTTATTATTATATATTAATATATATTAATATATAAAATATTTTTTTAACAACATAAATAATTATTAGTTTTTAAATAATAAAATTTATTTATTTATAAATATATCGATGCAAGTATTATAGATAACTATTGAATATTACATTTAAAAAACATTTAGTAGTAGTAGTAGTAGTAGTAGTAGTAGTAGTAGTAGTAGTAGTAGTAGTAGTAGTAGTAGTAGTAGTAACTGAGCTATCATTAAGCCCCGACACCCCATAAGGGAGGGCCAAACATATTACGGATGGTTATAGTTAGGTATCATAAGTGTCCAACAAATAGATATTTTTTATTTATTAAAATTTATTTTATTTTTTGAATTAATTAATTAATTATTTAGTTTTTATTTCCTAAAATACCGGATATTGTATTACCAAAAAAATATAAGTATTTTATATATAAAGTAAATCATAATAAAAATTTACAGCAAATTTATATTATTATTATTATATGAATATACACTGCAAACATAATTTAATTTCGTATCGCAAAAATATTGATATCATTAACTTTGAACTTTAATAACTTTTTTATTTTTTAACTTAAATAAACAAATTTGATATCAAATGAAAGAACACTTTTCAAAGTTTATAAGTCAATAAATAAAATTGCATTAATTATCATATTATCTATAAAAAAGCATAAGAAGTAAGAAATGGTAAAAAAAGTTATGTACAAAAAGTATTTTCGTGAAATCAAAACTTTAAATATTATTAACAAAATAAAGCTATTAATTTAGTAAAAACAATATTAATATCGAGTATTGCCTCCGTTGGCATCAATCACAGCCTGCAATCTTCTTGGAACACTTTGGATCAGCTTTTCTGTGACTTCTTCAGGTATATTTTTCCAGACATTAAATAACGACTCTTTAAACGCAGAAAAACTTTTTCTTTCGCTCTTTGGCACACGTCTGTCCAATTCATCCCATAGATGTTCAATAATATTGAGGTCAGGGCTCTGTGGCGGCCACTCAAGTGTCTCAATTTGATTGTCAGACAACCATTTCTTTGCCAATTTTGATGTGTGCTTTGGGTCGTTGTCCGCTTGAAATAAAAAATCATCGCTTATTTGTAGATCTCTGGCACTCTGAAGCAAATGTGGGGTCAAAATATCGTTAACGTAAATGTAGCGGTCCATAGTTGATGGAATTTCGACCAAATGGCCAACTCCCTGGCCTGTCATACACCCCCATACCATAACTGATTTCGAGTGCTTCACAGTTGGACATATATTATCAGGATTAATGCTTTCGCCTCTCTTTTTAAACACTCGTTGGCGACGTTTAGTACTAATAATCTCAAATTTTGACTCATCTGACCACAAGACCTTCCTCCAGTATGACATAGGCATCCGGATGTACTTTCGTGCAAAGTCTAATCGTTTTCTCTGATTTGTTAGGCTTATCATTGGACGTCTTCGCGCAATACCACTGTAATAACCCATTTCTTGAATCCGGTGTCTAATAGTGTTTCGGTGACACAAAATGTTTCTGGCGGCCAACTCTTCCTTAATCTCATCGGTGGTCAACTTCTTATTTTTTGCCACAATTCGACTCAATATCCTGTCCTGTTTAGCACTGGTACATCTTTTTCGACCACTTCTTGCGAGATTTCTAACTGTCCCGTACTTTTCGACTTTCTTTACAATTGATCGGACAGTATTATCAGTTGTTGTAAACAGTTCCGCTATTTTTGCGTATGACTTTCCGGTGCTGACTCTCATATCATACATTTGTTGGCGAATTGCATCTGAAAATTCTTGTATTTTAACCATTTTTATGATAATCACTGCATTTACTGTTTATTTACGTGTATTCAAATTAATAACAATGCATTGGAATCAATTGGTCCCAACAATGTGTCTGAAATCACGCGCGTTTTAAAAACACGAAAATAATTTTTGTACCTAAATTATTAACACCTATAACTTTACCTTGATATATTTTGTTATTTAAACCATTGTTTTGACCATCTAGTATATCAATTTAATTGTGATTTATTACTCTATTATTTGATATCAAATTTGTTTATTTAAGTTAAAAAATAAAAAAGTTATTAAAGTTTAAAGTTAATGATATCAATATTTTTACGATACGAAATTAGATTATGTTTTTAGTGTACAGTTTATATATATGATATATGTATTTATATAATATAAAAACTACTAATAATAATAATTTAAATATATTTTATTAAATGTAAACGTGTTGTTCATGTATTATAATGTATTATATAAATGTTTTTTATTTGATTTTATTATTTATTTTTTTTGTTGGTTTGTTTTATATTACATATAACATTCAATTCCGGTAATACTTTATACAACTATTTAATACTAATAATAATATAGTTTTTAAAAAAAACTAAAACTTATATAAATTTCTAAATGTTTTGCATTTATATTTAAAAAATATATTTTGTATATTTATTAATTATTTTTTGTTAACAAAAATAAAACAATTGTTAAACAATACAGTCCTATGAAAAATGTCTTTATATATATAATTGTAATGTTTATTATAAATATATATTACTTTTTTATATTATATAATATGTAAATTTATTTCTATATATATAAACAAAAATATATAATAATAACTAAAATAAAACAATTGTTAAGATTCATATATATATATATATGATTTACTATTTATAAAAATTTTTACTATCTTTATATACAATGATTTAATATTATATATATATATTATATAAGATTTAAGATATATATTTATTTATATATTAATCTGATAATAATAATAAAAAAGTAAATAAATTTAATTATATATTTTACATCCAATTATACAATTTTCATGATTTATATATTTATTTATTTTTTAAAATCCAGTATTTATGGAAATTTTTTAGTATAAAATAGTATTATTTAAATTTTTGTTGATTATTATTATTATTATTATTAATATCTTCCTATAAAATAATAATAATAATTTTTATAATGAAAGATAAAATTTAATATTCACTTTCACTTTTTATTTTATTTATTTGTTTATTATTATTATTTTGATAACAATTACAATAATGTTTAAAAAAGAGGTTTTTAATGTTATATATAATCAGAAAATTATATCTTATTTATTATTATCGTTATTATTATTATTATTATTATTAATAGTAACTACAATTAAAACAATATTTTTATTTATTTATTTTTTTGAAAACCAGATTTACAAACAAACATAATATAAAAGTTTTATATAAATTTTTATTTTGTTTTGTGTAGTAAACAAAAAAAATATATATATATAATACAAAATCATAAACATTTATACATAATATATTCATCAAAAAAAATAAATAATATTATAATAATAATAATAATATAACTAATATAATATTAAATAACATATATATATATATATATATATATATATATATATATATATATATATATATATATATATATATATATATATATATATATATACTAGACTATATAAACCGATGCAAACAAATATAAGTTTTATATTTTAAAAATTATTAACAGTTTAATATTTTAAATTGAAAACAATTGTATTTAGTTATATATTAAATATTTAATTATTTATATATATTATATTATATTAAAAGTATTTTAACTGTTGTGATAAAATTTATAAAATATATTAAATATATTTTATAATATTTAGTTTTAAAAAAAATTATAATAATAATAATAATGTATTCAAAGGTAACTATTATATATAATATAATACTAAATTTTTTTTAAATCAATATATAATATTAATAATTTATTTTTTAAATAATAAAATCTATCTAGTTCATATTGGTATCGGCACTGGTATGCTGTAGTCAAGCAGGTGGTGGTGGCGGTAGTAGTGGTGGTGGAGGTTATGGTAGTAGTAGTGGTGGTGGTAGTAAAGGAGGTTCCCGTAGTAGTAGCTCAGGTAGCTCTGGTAGTGGCTATGGTAGTGGTGGTGGCGGCTATGGTGGTGGTGGTGGTGGGGGTGGCTATGGAGGCGGTGGCGGAGGGTTTATCAGCGGTGGTGGWGGAGGAGGAGKMGGTGGTGGTATCATACCGGCAGCCATCCAGACCCGWCACTCGGTAGAGCTCCGACAGGTTAACCTACCGTCCGAACCCATTCAACCGCAAACCGTATTAGTCGATGCCGGTGTCCTACCCTTGACCATACTGTTCCGATCGGCATCCAGTAGTCTGAATGTATTGCAACAACATCTGGGAGGACAGGGAGATACCCAGTCGTCTCAATCGGAGGACGAACCACATCGACTCATACACGAAGTAACCAAACCTATCATCCAAGAGGTTCGGGAAGTTATTACACCCTTCCGACGGGTAACCCAAGAAATACAGCCAGTTATCGAAGATATCCAGACAATAGTGGCCAGAGGTGACGGCCGAGGTCAGGGTTTCGGTGCCGGCGGCTATGGATTAGGCGGTGGTGGTGGCGTAGGCGGTGGTATGGGTGCAGCTATTGGCGGTGGTTTCGGTCACACAGGTATTGGCGGTAGTGTTGGCAGCGGTTTTGGTACCGGTGGTGCCGGCTATGGCCAGTCAGGTTACGGTGGTTTTAGCAGCGGTGGATATGGTGGTAGTGGTGGTGGGAGCAGCAGCAGCGGTAGTAGTAGTTTCGGGACTCATGGCTATGGAGGGAGCAGTGGCGGCGGCGGCTCAGGGATTTCAATCATCGGCGGCGGTGGTGGCGGCAAAACAGGAGGATATGGAGGTTCCGGTGGTGGGAGAGGTGGCGGTAAGTCATATTCAAGCGGTGCAGCCTCGGGAGCAGCCAGTAGTGGAGCTGCATCGGGAGCCGCCTCGGGAGCCGCTTCGGGAGCTGCCTCGGGAGCAGCCAGTAGTGGTGCCGCCGCCGCCTCCTCATCAGGAGCTGCCAGTTCTCGGGCAGCCCGAGCTTAGGCAGGCTATGAGTGCAATACTATCGGTATTTAGGAGACGACAACAACTACGACTGTCCTCTTCTACTATAAATAGTTTTACCGATAATTATAGTAATTTTAATTAATTTGTTTTTTTTTATTTTCATAGAAAAAAAATTTATTTGATTTATATAACATTATTCATAATTATAATTATTATTATTATTGTAATTAGTATATGTTTTTTTAGTTTAGTTTATTATAATTACATAATTAGATAATTAATTAATTAATTTTTCACAATTTGTAAAATCATTTTCAATCATTTTGTGTGTATGTCTATGTGTTTGTCTGAATTCAATGATAATAATAATAATAATACATTTAATTAATTAATTAATAAAAACAAAAAATAATAAAATAAAAATATTATAAAACAATACATTAATTATTATTTTTTGTGATTTCATATGTTTTATGAATATATAATATTTAAAAAAAAAATTATAATTAGCTATAGAGTAGACAAAAAAATGATTTATTTATTTATTTAATATAATTATTATTATTATTATTATTATATATTGTATTTGTGTTGACAATAATCAGCCGGCAATTGTTTAACATAGTCTACCAAATAATTTAGGCCCACATAGTATACCATAAATGCCAACAATACTGATAAGTGAAACAATTGGTGTGAATGAAACTATAATTTAATTAATTAATTAATTAATTAATTACTAAAAATTAATACATAACAAAACAACAACAACGAGAAAATAAAAATTATTATTAAAAGAAAAATTATTATTAAAAAAAAAAATTATTATTAAAATAAAAATGATATGAAAATAAAAATTATTATATTTTGTGTGTTTATAAAATTAATTACAATTATATTCAATAACACAAAAAATATTATTTAATTTTAATTTAAAATTGTTTTGTATTTGTTTTTTTTAAATTAAATTAAATAAATAGATAACTAAATAAATATTAAAATTTTTTTTAATATACTATACAGTAATATATATTAATAGTAACAAACAATATATGCAACAAATATTTATATATTAAAAAAAATAAATTTAATAATTAATAGAAAAAATTTATTTGAATTATTATTATTATTACATTTTTTTATTTTTTAAAAAAAACTTACCAAATAATCGCATCGACCGGGAAAATATTTTTCGGGTATTTGTGAACAGTAGAGATAAGTACCGCCGACCAGTAGTCCGGCCATCAAAACCAAACACAGCACCGGTATTATGAGTAGCGACCGGTTGCCGGCATCCGATAATAGGTCCGACCAATGTTTGGCCATATAGTGTACAGTTGGTAGCAAACCAAACATAGCAAACAATACAAACATACCGGCCCTCAATAGCCGATTGCCCGGCTGGTATAGTATGCCCGATAGCTGTACAAACCCGGTGGCCATACCTAATACCAAGGCTGACCCAATGTACGACCAACGGGCTACGGGCTCACAATGAAAACCATAGTAGATATAGGGTATATAGTGTGCCGTTATTACCTGGGTAATGCCTACAAAATCTAACCTGAATCCAAAAAAAAAAATAATTAATGATTAAACACAGAGCACTGGTATGTTTAACCCCCAAAAAAATAGATACCCAGGGTTTGCAATTACCTGAGAAATCTGACACAAACATCRTGTGAATGACACATCATTGTATGAAAACTGGCCGACAGTCCTAAACATAGGATACATGAGCCAAAAAATAGGCCAAACACTAGCCGATCGCCRRTAGTTAGTGTTAGTTGATTGTTGTCTAAACTGACTAACTTTTCGATGGCTAGTCCAACAAATACTAGACAACCCAATAGATGAGACCATATGTTAACAGTTTCGTTATGTATAGTGAATACCGATTTCAGACACCGACGGATGGACGGTATGGGCGGCCGATAGCCGTCCAGTATGTACTGGTTTTCKCGATACCAGTGCGGCAACARTTTATAGTGTAGAAGCTATAGGAGGGTTAGGTGGGGGTGGGTTAGGAGGTTATGGGATGGGATTAAACAAAACTAATTAAATACCAGTCTTTATATATAAGTTTATGTTTGTTTTTTTGTTGGTTAAAAAATACCTCATTTTTATCAATTAATGTCATTGTTGGTGATGTTGTTGTAGATCCAGGTGCTAATGATGATGATGATAATGGTGTTAATGTTTTTATCATTGAATTGCTGGTATTATTATTATTATTATTTTCATCGACACCACCACTACCATCACCACTACCTACTAGTTGTAGTGATGGTTGACTACTACTACTACTACTATGTTGTTGATTAGTGGTGTCGGTATGTTGTTGTTGTTTGGGCACCGGTAGCCTATAGGTTAGTACATGTTGTCGTTGTTTAGTAGTAGTAGTAGTGGTAGTGGCGGACAATGCACTGGTAATCACTTCAGTTGACATTTTTTTAATTATTTTGAGAATTAATTAATTTATTTATTTATATATTATTTATATATATATATTAATTATTGATCTAAAATCAAAAATAAATAAATAATAATTATTAATAATTATTAAATTCAATAACAAAAAAATTTAAATAATTTAAAGTTAAATGTTTGTTTTAAATTTAATTTGATTGATAATAATAATAATAATGTATAATTTTTTTAAAAACTATTTATAAACTATAAATCATTATTTTAAACTAAACAATTATTAAAAATTATTAAAAATTAATAATAATAATTATTATTATTATTAGATATATTAGATGATTATCATGTAATAAATTTTTTAATATTTTGTATTTTTTGTTATAGTATATACCGGTAAAAAAATATATAACACACATGTGGTTTTTTAAATAAAATAAATTTAACACTTAATATATATATATATATATATATATATATAAAGTTTTATATATTTATAAAAAATATAAATTATAAAATATTAATAATTAAAAAATAAAATAAAATAATAATTACGTGTAGAAATTAGATATTTTAATAAAATACTTATATTAATCTATTAATTATTATAATTAATAAAAATAACTGATAAATATTTTTTTATATATTTAATTTTTTTAAATATATAAAAATTCATCTACAAAATAGCTATTTATAATTTTTAAAATTAATTTTATCAAATTTTTGTTTTGTTTGTTTGATTATTATTTCATATAACACATCAACTAAATTAAATTAAAAAAAAATTATTGCCAAATAAAATGTAATAAATATTTTTTAGCCATTTCTAAATAAAAAAATCTGTAACAAAATTACTACTAATTTTTTAATCGGAAAAAAATATATTAATAATTAATTTTTTTATAAATTATAAAAAATATTGCTCATAAAATCTCATCATAAAAAATCTATATATAAATTATAAATAAATTAATATTAAATAAACAAATAATTTATTTTAGTTTTTTTTTAGAAATGGAAATTTTCGGTACTATTTTTATTAAATTTTTTTTCAGTTAAATTTTTTGGTTAGAAAAATATTTTTTTTATTATTATTATTATTACTTAGTTAAAATGTAACATTGGAAAAATTAACCTTGTTTTTTTTATTTAAAAAAATTTTTAAAGTTTTTTTGAGTGACTATTAATTGCTATAAAAAACCTAAATTAATTTAATCTATCACAAAAATCTAATGAGATATTTATAGGAATGTATTATTATTTAGTTAAATTAAAAAAATAGCAAATTTTAATTAAAAACTAAAATTTATAAATTTATAATAATATTAATTTTTTAAGTTCATATTTTTTTTAAAAAATAATTTATTTTATGTATTGATTTGTAAACAGCATTATATTTTAGTTAATTTATATATTTTTTAAAAATTGTTTTCAAAACATGTAAACAACAACATAATGTTAATAATAATACTAATAATAATTTATTTTTTTTGTACTTAAAACTTATTAATATAATTTTAAAAAAAATATAATTTAAAATTATAATTTTATTTTTTAGTATAAATTAATTAATTAATTCTTAATTTATTTTATTAGTTAATTAACATAATGTTGTTATTATATATATATATTTGGATTATTATTATTGTAGAATAAATAACATAAAATTTTCAAATTAATTATTAAAATAATTAAAAAAAAATTCTGGATTTTACATTTAATTTTATTTTTTTGAAAACTTAAGTTTTCTAAAATCAATAATAATAATAATAATAATTAACTAACTAATAGTGTATATAATTAAACATTTTTTATTATAATAATAATAATATTATTATTAATAATAAATACTAAATAAAAAACTATTTATTTATTTTATTCAAAAACAAAAAAATGCAATTTATTTGGGAGGGGAATACCCACACAAATATTATGCAAATTTTTTTTTTAATTTTTTTTTTGGTAAACTTTCTTTGTATATATATATTTATGCAAAAAACTAAATAAATAATATATATATCAAACCAACAACAAAAAAATAAATAATTAATACTAACTTATAAACACATGTGGCTATAGATATATGTGTGGATATGTCTGGCATTTAAAGTAATAGTTATTTTTGATGGTTCACTAACTTGAATATCCACTCTCTCTCTCTCTCTCTCTCTCTCTCTCTCTCTCTCTCTCTCTCTCTCTCTCTCTCTCTCTCTTTCAGTGGGTTTGCCTTAAGGGCCAAATTGGGGATTTTTTTTTTGATGTTGTTGGTCATCATTGTCAGCACTGGTAGTTTCAAATGGTTACGTAATTTCGAAAAGTGAGAGTCAGTGATGAGATATCTTTTTTTTAAAAAAATATTATTACTGAAAAAAAATTTCCTTCAAATTCAATGGAAAACTACAATATTTAGAAATTTATTATTTGTATTAATTATTTAGTTGTTATTATTATTATTTTGTTTTGTTTTAAATACTGTATATTTAAAAATATAGGCGTGTTTGTATGTGTATGTTAATGTGTATGTGTATGTGTATGTGTATGTGTATGTGTATGTGTATGTGTATGTGTATGTGTATGTGTATGTGTATGTGTATGTGTATGTGTATGTGTATGTGTATGTGTATGTGTATGTGTATGTGTATGTGTATGTTAATGTGTATGTGTATGTGTATGTGTATGTGTATGTGTATGTGTATGTGTATGTGTATGTGTATGTGTATGTGTATGTGTATGTGTATGTGTATGTGTATGTGTGTATGTATGTTTATGTTTGTAAAAAATTACCTAGCTTTTAAAAATTAGATGATTGATTAAAATTAATTGCTAAATTTCTAAAAATAAAAAAACTAAAATTTTTAAACATTGGAATTATCTATGGAAAAATTTTCGGCTTAATAAACAACACATTTTTCCAATTTATTTTAATTATAATTTTTAAAATATTACAATAAATTATAAATAGTTATAAATTAAAAAATATAATATGTATATATATATTGTATAATTTAGTTATTAATTTTTTTTCGTAAATATAAAAAATATTGTTAATTATGTTAATAGTTTTTTTTAATATTACGTAAAAAAATATTGTCGTATTTTATTTTAGATAATTTTATTTCAATAGTTATTTCAAAATATTAATAATATCTTTATTACATAATATTTATCAAAAAAAATAAAAAAAATTTTTGTCATCAATATATTATTTTTTTTATTATAAAAAATAATATTATTGCTAAATAATCACTATTTAAATTAAACAATTAAATTTTATTTTAATTGTATATATTTTATTTGTAAATAAATTAATATATATTATATGAAATTATTATTATTAAGTAATAGACTTTTTTTTCTCAACAAAAAAATTAATTTGTTTTTATAATAATAATAATAACATTATTATTATCAATATTATTGACAAACAAATATATATATAAATTTATTTATTTATTATTATTATCACAATATTATACATATATTTATCAATTTTGTTTAATTGCAAATAATTGTTGCAATATATATATATAATATTTATATTTTAGAAAAAAATTATAATAATTTCAATAACTTTTATTTTTCTGTGTGGAGTTTAATTAATAATTAATTTTAAATATTTTTTTAATTATTAATATATTAATTAATGATCGAAAAAAAATCAACAAAATTATTATAATTTTATTTTTTTCATTATTAGTATAATTTATATATCAATATTTCAAAATTTAGATATAGATATTTTTTTGAAATAAAAATATTATTATTATTATTATACCCACTATATATATATATATATATATATATATATATATATATATATACATATATATATATATATACTATAACTTATATATATATATATATATATATTATAACTTATATATTGTACACAAGGTTATTGATAGGAAAAATTAATACTAAAAAAAAAAAATTTTTTTGTGTTAATTTTCTCAATAATATTTGAGTTAAGATTACAATTAAAATTTATTTATTTATTTTAATTTTATTTCGGGATTTTTCGATCCCTGAAAAAAAACTATTGAGAGATCCTTATCTTAATATAGATAACAATATATATATATATATATATGATATTAACTGTTTAAAATTTGTTTGTATAGTACAGTACAGTACTGTATACAATATACACTTGAAATATTACAACAACAACTACAACAAAAAGTACTCAACTATTAATTGAAATATATATTGAAAGATAAAAAGTAATAATAATAATAATAATATAATTCAATGTTAAAACACATGTAGTTGTTTGCCATATAATATATATATAATATACGATATAATTTATACAACAATATATCCACACATATAGTATCAATCAATTTATTTTTAATCTATTATTATTAGTATAATATTTTATTTTGATAATACAATATATATATATATATATATATATATATATATTTAAAAATATTGTTTTAATTTTATTTAAAAATGTTGGTCAAGTGTTAATAATATATAATATTTTTTTAATTTATTTTTGACTTTCATTATTGTTTTTAAATTAAAAAAAAAATTGATTATTAGTTTTTTTCTTTACTTATGTTAATGAATTTAATAACAAAAATAATTATCAATATATATATATATATATATATATATATATATATATATATATATATATATATATATATATAGAAAAAATTGTAATAGTTTTTATAAAAAAAATAATATCATTGAAATTGTTTTGTTTATTTTATTTGTTTTGTATGTGTGAATATTATTATTATTATTATTATTATTTGATAAAATACAAAATTTACTGATTAATAATGATTAAAAAAAAATTTGTTTTTTTTGAAATATTTTAAATTATAATATTGATTTATCTATTAAAAATCATGTTTCAAATATATTTATTATTATTATTATTATTACTAAAATTTTTTTTAAGCTATTAGTTTATACTGTACTATGAATATATATGATAAGTTTAAATAATTTTTTTTATACATAAGTTATTAAGTACTGTATATTAAATACATTAAAATACTATTACAT